GAATGTTTGAAATGGTTCTAGTTATCGTTCCAATCAAGTTTCAGAGCGTTACAGCTTTCCGAAATGTGCTTTTCCAATTTTTTTCCATTATTTTCGTACTAAGGGTAGTTTTTAATACAATCCGACGGCAGGTAAGGGGGTTTCCTTTGGAGGGAATGTTTGAAATGGTTCTAGTTATCGTTCCAATCAAGTTTCAGAGCGTTACAGTTTTCCGAATTGTGCTTTTCCAATTTTTTTCTATTATTTTCGTACTAAGGGTAGTTTTTAACACACTCCGACGGCAGGTAAGGGGGTTTCCTTTGGAGGGAATGTTTGAAATGGTTCTAGTTATCGTTCCAATCAAGTTTCAGAGCGTTACAGTTTTCCGAATTGTGCTTTTCCAATTTTTTTCCATTATTTTCGTACTAAGGGTAGTTTTTAAAACACTCCGACGGCAGGTAAGGGGGTTTCCTCTGGAGGGAATGTTTGAAATGGTTCTAGTTATCGTCCCAATCAAGTTTCAGAGCGGTTCTGATGATCGTCCAACTGAGTTTGATGGTGTTACATTTTTCCGAAATGTGCTTTTCCAATTATTTTAATAATAAGGGTTGATCCCAACCTGACGGCAATAAGGGGTTGTTCTCCGAACTAGACGTACTTGACGCCATGTTAAAGACTATTCTAAATTTCATGGTGTTACATTTTATTTTAGAAAAGTTGTTTTGTAGATATTAATGTTCTAACTTTATGTTTTATTAGGGGTACTTCTTTTTTTTTTTCTGTTGTACTTTGCACGAGGGTATATAATAATAATGTACACAGAATTTGTAAATCAACCATTTAAAAAAAAAGCTGCCAAAAAATGGCTGCTAACTTCACAATTTTGGCTGCTACAAATGGCTGCTAACTTCACATTTTTGGCTGCTGCAAAAAGGCTGCTAACTTCACACCGGTTATTTACTGCTAGCAGAATGAGTCTATGTCATAATATAGACCAATTAAGACCATTATGGAAACTTCTTGACTGGTAAATATTCATTTACCGCCAGCAGAATGAATTTAGATCAAAATATAGAGCGATTGAGACCATTATGGAGACTTCTTGACTGGTAAATATTTATTTGCCGCCAGCAGAATGAATCTAGATCAAAATATAGAGCGATTTAGACCATTATGGAGACTTCTTGACTGGTAGATATTTATTTACCGCTAGCAGAATGAGTCTATATCATAATATAGACCAATTTAGACCATTATGGAAACTTCTTGACTGGTAAATATTTATTTACCGCCAGCAGAATGTATTTAGATCAAAATATAGATCGATTTGGACCATTATGGACACTTCTTGCCTGGTAAATATTTATTTACCGCCAGCAGAATGAATCTAGATCAAAATATAGACCGATTTACACCATTATGGAGACTTCTTGACTGGTAAATATTTATTTACCGCCAGCAGAATGAATTTAGATCAAAATATAGATCGATTTGGACCATTATGGGCACTTCTTGCCTGGTAAATATTTATTTACCGCCAGCAGAATGAATTTAGATCAAAATATACAGCGATTTAGACAATTATGGAGACTTCTTGACTGGTAAATATTTATTTACCGCCAGCAGGATATTATTTTATAGTTATTTACTACAACTCAGACTGCAAAGATAAACTTCGAGTCTTTTTGTGTGGTAAATATTTGTTTACCGTCAGCAGAATCATTTTGTTTTGTATTGTACAGCTATTCAGACCAATATGGATCAATATATAGGTTATTGTATCGACGGGCGGTATATTGAAAATCCTCTGTAATTTTCAATTGGATTAATTATTATTGGCATTGGCAGAATGATTAAAGGGCACTAGAATCGGCAACCGCAACCAAAAGGATGAATAAACCGTCCTTAAACAGTTAAAAATATAATCATCAGCTCACAATTTTTGAATATTGTAATTATCGTTTTTTGTTCGTGCATTGCTCTGTTTGATGAACAATAAATAGATGAAAAATTTGATTTTTCGAAAGTTGGTTCCTCTAATTATTATTTGAAAATAAGTATAGTCATAGATTTTCATGTATTATAAACTTGATTCAAAATAGAAATAATACGTAATAACATTTTTCTGGTAGCTCGGTATAATCGCTTTTTTCCGAAACAGGCAAGATTGAAAAAATTAAAAATATGGTAAATAATTAGCAACAAAATAGCAACAAATTCCCCACTATTCTTTTTTTATTCTGCTGAGAAATTGATTTTTTTTCTGCTAGCTGGATATCAAGCTGGCAGAATCCCATTTTTTCGTCGACAAGAGAAAAAAAATCAAAAATATGGTAAATAATTAGCAACTAAATAGCAACAAATTCCCCACTATTTTTTTTTTATTCTGCTGGGAAATTAATTTTTTTTCTGCTAGCTTGATATCAAGTTAGCAGAGTCGCATTTTTTCAAAATCGGCAAGAGTAAAAAAATCAAAAATATGGTAAATAATTAGCAACAAAATAGCAACAAATTCTCCACCAAATTTTTTCGAATTCTGCTGGGGTTGTCATGCTAGGTTGACAGACATCTATTAAACCTATATATCTATTAATAATAGAGGATTGGGGTAACAAAAACCTTGTACAGTTCAACGCGCAGAAAACCCAAGCAGCTCTGTTTTCAAAAAAGACCAGCACCGGTGAGCCAAACATCATGCTATCTGGAAGTGCTGTCACATTACAGAGTCAGTTGAACATCTTGGGGGTTACTGCAGAGACCAACATGTCTTGGCACAGTCACGTGGCAGATATTGCTAAAAGGGCCTCCCAAAAGCTGGGGGTGCTATTTCGTACAAGACATCTGTACACACCAAGCCAATTGCTGACACTCTACAAAGCCCAGATTCGACCAACTATGGAGTACTGCTCACATATATGGAGTGCAGCACCCAAACATACCTTAATGCTTTTGAATACCGTGCAAAAACGAGCTATCAAGCTGATCAATGACCCCGCACTTACTCGTAACTTGGATGGTCTCGAACATCGCAGATCTGTGGGCGATTTATCTCTCTTCTACAGGTACTATCACGGAAAATGCTCTGAAGAGTTGGCACGTATGATTCCACCGAGAGTAGCACCTACCAGGCGAACCCGTCAAACAGACGGTAACCATGAATTTACTGTCAAACTAGAGGCACCAAGAACCTCATTATATCAGAATTCATATCTCTGGAGAACAGCATCGCTGTGGAATAAACTCCCTGCGTCGGTTTTCCCTGCAGGTTACAACCTGAACCGTTTCAAGACCAACATACACCGACATTTCCGCGCACTTGCCGCTTCTCGAGCGTGATAGGATATTTCCTTGCGAGTGCGCATATCCGTAAAAAAAAAAAAAAAAAAACCGGCTGCTTGTGATGCACTTATCACTTCTTTCACAAACTTACAATTCAAAACAACAAACTCAACACTCAACAACGATCAACGATGAAGCACTCAACAAATTAATAATTAATTCAGTGATTCAGATGACAAGCAACATTACAATTCTCTGTAAGTGATTGACTTATTTACAAGTAGATGGCGACATCTTCAATATCAATTCGTTTACACAGTTATTTACAGTTGACTTAATAATTTTATTCAGATATAAATGAAATAATAGTATTTCACATTTTTAGCTAGGTAAAACAGTTTTTACTGGCGTTTAAAAGAAGTGACTACCCTTCCCGAACTCAGCGACATATTTTAGAGAAGCGCTGAATACACGTTTGGTTTGAGTCTTTGCTGAAAATGACAGCAATCACCTCGTTGTTTGACAGATTTTGATTAATTTTGTAATGCATCTCTGTGTAATGCAAAACATTATAATTTTCGAAAATTCTGTTCATTTAATTTTTTCCAGCATTTTACTATCCGAAATTTTGGAAATTTATTGTTGGTGTGCTATTCTATATGTACATCCCTTTTTCATTTAAATCCGTGACCAAAATTTGCATATTGTTGTCAACAAAATTGGTAATAATTTTACTATTTAGAATGCGTATTTTGCCAACAAAAATGCTTCGAATCATACTCCAATCTATTATTGTTATGAACATGATTTCACTTCACTGAAAAGTGGTGTAAATTTGGAATTGAACAGAAATCTGCTAACTTCACACCGGTGGATTTGGAAACGATTCTGTGCAAAACCTAAAATTTGTTTCTAGAATCCGAAATTTATATATACAGGGTGTATATTTTAAGTGATACCACTATTGCTATATCCGAAACGGTAAGAGCTATAAGGTCGGTTAAATTAGAAAAAAGTTGCCTTTTTTAATGCCCATTTAAGACTCTTTTACAGTGTTGCCAAATTCCTTTTAGTTTATTAAATACAGGTTCATAACTAGGATCGAATTACGGTAAGATTTTGGTAAAAATCACTTTTCATCACTTTTTGGAGCAGAAACGTCGGCCACTCATACTTAAGAAGTATATCATTAGAAAGGGAATAAAAAGCACCTTCTAAAAATGACATAAAAAATCCAGGTTCGTATTTAAAAAAAAACGTTGATGATGGTAACTCAATCACGAGACGTCGGATTGAAAATTTGAAGATGCCATGTTGTAGAGCGGAAAAAATTAAAAAACTTTCAAATTCAAATTGTGTCTCCAAAATCAATATTTTTCGAAATAATTGATGAAATATTTTTAGGCGTTTCTCAGAAATCACCCTGTATTTCATAAAGGAAAAGGAATTTGGCAACACTGTAAACGAGCCTTGAATGGGCATCAAAAAAGGCAACTTTTTTCTAATTTAACCGACCTTGTAGCTCTCACCGTTTCGGATATAGCAATAGTGGTATCACTTAAAATATACACCCTGTATATAGATTAAGATATGTTTCAATATTTCAAAAACCGGCCCATGAATGGTTTCGAAACCACTCCTGTATACAAATTTCGGATTCTACCCAAAAATTTCAGGTTTTGCGCAGAATCGTGACGGAATTGTATTATTTTTTTGACTTTGAAATATAACCTTTTTTTTAGCTCACTAAGGCTTTAAAGGATCTAAACATAAAAGTTCAGACATCCAGTGTGAAGGAAAGGAAACATGTCATAGAAAATGTGATAAATGTTCTCGCGAATCCTGGTAAGTTTTTTAGTCAATTTAAAAAATGAAATACTTGAATACTTATGCAGCTATAGTATTTTTAATACCTATTCAGAAGTACCTGTCGTTTTAGTGCCAAAACGTATGTCGCTTCTCGACACACAAATAAAATGGTTAAGGCCGTTTTACAGCTTGCAAGAAAACTTGAATGCCATTTTTTGCATGCAAAAAAATTGCATTCAAGATTTCTTGCACGTCGTTTTACACCTTGCAATTTGACTTGTTTCTTTCTCTAACCTTAACCATACTTTTTTGTTTTTAATGTCGTGTTGTTGATGTTTGCATTTACCAAAAATAAAAAAGTGATTATAAGTCGATATGAAAAGAATAAAGCATTAGCAGCAACTTTAAGCATCATAATTACTAAAAATTCCCCAGCTTGCACGAAAACCTTCAAGAAAAATGGCACCAAACCGATTGCATGCAATGCCATACAAGTTTCAAGAATCTTGCAGAAACCAATCAGCTGACTCACTTCTGCGCATGCCCTCGTTCAAGTTTCTTGCATATTGCAGATAGAATTGCAAGCTGTAAAACGGCCTTTAGGAATTTCCTATTTGTAGATGAAATTGACGTATTAGCAATCGACGTTTGTTTTTGTTGGTAATTTTTTGTTTCATCTGATTCGTGATTGATAAATAAGGATGAGGTTATTCTAAATGGGTCTTACCAAAGAATATTATAGACTAACGTCTCTAGAAGTCTCGTCCGTATTCTGATTTTTGATACCTCGATGGACGCCGGCTTTTGCCGGTGTGGACGCTGGCTCGAGTCTATTGCCCACTGTTGCCGAGTTGTCAGTGCTGTTGATTCAGCGTCCAGCCAGCGAGCCAGCATCCGTGTCTGCTTCTCTGAATGAAGTTATTAAATAGTCGGGGAGCTGGCGTCGAAAATATGCAAGAGTTTTCGCAAGGCTCATATTTTCAGAATGAGTACCATTTTAGTACTACAAAGCTAGGCTACAGTCAGCAGTTCCAGTTCCGGGACACCTGGCGCTGAGATGCGCGCAAAAGTGTATTTTTAATCAACACCTCGCAACAGTTTTCGCAAAGCTGAAAATTTGCAGAGAGCATGCGAATATAATGTAGAACCATAATTTAACAGTCAGACAAATAAATACGGGACCCCGCCAGTCAGCAGTCGATTAAAGTCATATAGGTGGTAGCGCGCGTCAATAGGCATATATCCATGTCGAATAATAATTTCACCAAAAGTGTTTTCGCATAGCTGAAATTTGGCAAGGTAATAGTAAAAACAATATATTTATTGAAAAAAACAGTCAGACACTTCTATGTCGGGACTCCCTCAGTCAGCAGTCGATTAAAATGATATAGGCGGTAGCGCGCGTCAATAGAATTTTACTCTATATATAATATCCATTTCGATGAATAATTTTATTTTTATAATTTAAATTATTTGGAATCGGAAACGGTAAAATAAAATTGTACATGCAGTTAAAAAGTTTGCGGTTAGAAAAAAGCCCGATTCGTATAAATATTACTTGACCATTTAATCAGCAGTACTGTGATAGTATACCTATAGTAATTAAATAAATTCAGTTTTAATTATATTTATTGTAGTTTCATTAAATACTTATAATCGTCGCCGATTTTATAAAATACAAAAAAAAATTTCTAATCACATTTGCCGCTTCCCTTCCCCTAATCTCGACCTAACAGTACCATAATGAAGTTTCCGAATTCGAATGCATATACGCCTTATTCAAGTATACGCGCTTACGCTTGCAACTTACAGGTTTACACTTACTCATTAAGAGAAAAAAAATGTATTTTACCGTTTCCGATTCCAAATAATTTAAATTATAGAAATAAAATTATTCATCGAAATGGATATAATATATAGAGTAAAATTCTATTGACGCGCGCTACCATCTATATCACTTTAATCGACTGCTGACTGAGGGAGTCCCAACATAGAAGTGTCTGACTGTTTTTTTCAATAAATATATTGTTTTTACTATTACCTTGCCAAATTTCAGCTATGCGAAAACACTTTTGGTGAAATTATTATTCGACATAGATATATGCCTATTGACGCGCGCTACCACCTATATCACTCTAATCGACTGCTGACTGGCGGGGTCCCGACATAGAAGTGTCTGACTGTTTTTTTCAATAAATATATTGTTTTTACTATTACCTTGCCAAATTTCAGCTATGCGAAAACACTTTTGGTGAAATTATTATTCGACATGGATATATGCCTAATGACGCGCGCTACCACCTATATCACTCTAATCGACTGCTGACTGGCGGGGTCCCGACATAGAAGTGTCTGACTGTTTTTTTCAATAAATATATTGTTTTTACTATTACCTTGCCAAATTTCAGCTATGCGAAAACACTTTTGGTGAAATTATTATTCGACATGGTTATATGCCTATTGACGCGCACTACCACCTATATCACTTTAATCGACTGCTGACTGGCGGGGTCCCGACATAGAAGTGTCTGACTGTTTTTTCCAATAAATATATTGTTTTTACTATTACCTTGCCAAATTTCAGCCATGCGAAAACATTTTTGGTGACGTCATTCTTTTGACCACTTCAAAGTCGCGCTGACTCTACGTGTCCCCGTATTTCTTTGTCTGACTGTTAAATTATGGTTCTACATTATATTCGCATGCTCTTTGCAAATTTTCAGCTTTGCGAAAACTGTTGCGAGGTGTTGATTAAAAATACACCTTTGCGCGCATCTCAGCGCCAGGTGTCCCGGAACTGGAACTGCTGACTGTAGCCTAGCTTTGTAGCACTAAAATACTACTCATTCTGAAAATATGAGCCTTGCGAAAACTCTTGCATATTTTCGACGCCAGCTCCTGGACTAAAAGTGAAATATTTGCTTTGCGTGCATAGGGAGACAGACGCGTGCCAAAAGGAATTAGGAAGTTAAGCATATATTTTCTAACATATTTGATAATTTACCAACGAATATCATAGATGGATGCTATTCTATCATTTTCTTTAGGTTTTTTTTTTCAGTATATTTGGCAAATTTGCCACTTGGAAATTTATGTTTAATTTCGAATTATGAATTATTTATTTATTTTCCAGTAGATCGGTTTATTTACCAACAAGTAAATTTTGGGGTCGGTCAAGTTTCCGCCTGTATTAAACAAATTTCAAAAATAAATACCTAAACCATAATAATTTTGCACACTATAACTAAAATATTGCACACAACACAACGAAAACTAGAGCATTTTTTTAAACTAGGGACAAATTTGACCGTTCCCCCTTGTTTGTCTAAAACTTGAAAAATTCCTATTCACCTAAATTTGCACAATTTCGCATGCCTATTTTCAAATTTTGCACACTTTTCTGGGGAAAGTTAAAGTATGTTTTTTTTTTAAAGATAATTCCCCAAGTCAAAAATTCAATAACTATGTTGGCAACACAAGCCTTTTCTACATAAAAAATTTGAAAGCATTGACAATTTTACATTGCATTGCCAACTTAATGTCATTTTGACTTTTATCTTAAAAAAAAAAACTTTTTCTACAAACGTGTCAAAAATGCAATTTTTAACACCCCCCGTAGCATTAAAAATGTTACTTTATCGCACTAGTGCCATAAAGTCTTTATAGCACTAGTGTTAAAAATGAAACATCAAATTTTGAGAGCGAACGTCAAAAATGTTTGTATTTTTAGTTATTTACATTGATATTAATGGTAAAATTGGAACAACTGAGGTAGCCCGATTGGCCGCCTCATCTATATTTTTCAAGGGATCGATGCAATCTTCTCTTTCTTCTGTATTTTGTTGCATTTCTAGCAAAAATAATTACTGACCACGACATACTTTCAAGACACTGACAAGACATTTCACTACCTGTAAAACAAGGTGGTGGTTGTTTGGATCTTTTGATAAATGTCAAATTCAATAATTTTATGTAGGAAAGATGCTTCCAATTTATTATTCATTGAAAAATCCAATTTGATGACGTCATAATTTAGAAATCTTAGATTTTACTATCACTTTTCCGCGATTGTAAACCCACTTTTCCGCAAATATTAGCTCATTTTTTCGCGATTCTTATCTCACTCTTTCACAAATTTACACTCACTTTTTTTGAAATTTTTCGACTCATTTTTTTTGTGATTTTTGACCCACTTTTTTGCAATTTTGTTTTCACTTTTTTGCGATTTTTGGCTCTCACTCCTCGGCGATTACAAACTTATTTTTCTGCTATTTCATCCTCATTTTCCCGCGATTGTTCCCCTACTTTCCGCGATTTTATCTCCACTTTTCCGCTAATTTGACCTCACTTTTTTTGTGATTTTTGAAAAATATTTTTTTTTTTTATTTTTGACTCATTTTTTTGCAATTTTACCATCACTTACCGCAATTCTAAATCCACTTTTTCACGATTGTAAACCGACTTTTCTGTAAATATAATCTCATTTTTCCGCGATTCTTGTCTCACTTTGTTATCCTCACTTTTCCGCGATTCATATTTCATTCTCCGCGATTTTATCCTTACTTTTCGTGACTTTATCCTCATTTTTCCGTGAGTCTCATCTTACTTTTCCGCGAGTTTAAATTCACTCTTTTTGAAATTTTTGACTCATATTTTTCTTGCGATTTTTGACTCTTTTTTTTGTGATTTTATCATCACTTTCCACGATTTTATCCTCATTTTTCCTCATTTCAAAATTACGAAAATAACGATAATTTTTGAAAAGTTACGAAAAATTACGTAAAATATGAAAAATTAGAGAGAGTTGCAAACATTTACGAGAATTACGGAACATTACGAGAATCACGGAATAACAAAAAATTGCGGAAATTACAAAAATTATGGGAATTGCCAAATATTACGCAAAAGAATTACGAAGTCACTCCAAAATTACGTCAATTATTTAAATATTACTAATTTTTGAAAAGTTACGAAAACTAACAAGACAAATTACGGGAATTACGAAAAATAATGGGAATTTTAAAAATTTACGGAAC